GTGGGAGACAGGGAGCCCAGCAGAGAGACCTGAACCTTAGAATACTGAAGACCCAAACAGCTACTGTCAGGTGGGCTGAGGCACAGAAAGCAATATGTAATCTTCCACATCCCCCAAACCCTGTTTTCTGACCCCAAACTAGGCCCTGGGCCAAAAGGTCCTTTCCTCCAGCATGTGAGAGATGACCTGAGGTCCAGGAATGGGCGAGCGTGGCTCTTGGGGGGGCAAGGGGTGGACTGTCTGGCACGGTGGGAGGTTACCTGTAGCCACAGCCTAGTGCCAGATGCTGCAGGGCCCCTTCCCCACCTACCCCGCCCCCTCCGGGTGCTACAGGGCACTCCCCGCTGGGCTCACCCGCCTCCAAGGGTAGATGTAAGCTATGTCCATGAGGGTGTAGTACTCCTTCAGGGGCTCGTCCTCGTAGAGAACCTCCACCTGGGAGAGGGGGGCAACGCCAAGTGATGCAGGCCGGGCTCAGAGCCCTTGGGGGTTGGTGGGCGTGCTGGCGGAATGGCGGTCCTCCCTCAAGCCAGGACGTAGTATGCTTATCAGACCTCTCCTGGCACAGCTCCTGCCCGCCGGTGGGAAGGGATCACATATCTAATACCCAGCACCCCAGCCCCTGCCCCAGTGGTGTAGTCGACCTCCCCAAGCAAGGAGCTGCTGGGCAACTAAACAGGCTAGTGAGAAGGCGCTCCAGCACAGGTGCTCAGCCCGAGGGGCAGGGTGGGGGGAGAAGGGACCGGCCAGCGGATCACAGGGGCCCACCCAGGAGGTACTGAGCAAACACCATGTGGGGCTGACTCATCGCTCTGGGATGGTCTGGGCACCGGGCATTTTAAGGCTCCCTGGGATTATGATGTGCGGCAAGTTTGGGGATTGTGCAGTGGCCCGGGCGGGGACTGGCACCGCTGGAGTCTCGTCAGAAGAGCAAGTTCACCCAATGAACAAGCTCGCCCAGGGTTCCCTGTCCCCATTAAGGAGGAGCACTGTCCTAGGGCTCCTCCACCCCAGGCCACAGTGCAGGAGAGAGCTGGCTCACGCCCCGCCCCGCCCCGTTGGCACAGTGCACCTGTGAACACTGACTTGGCAGACACAGGTGCCCCTCTCCCACCGTGGTTTCCTCTGCCCTTCGACCTGGCCTCCTCTACAGCCCCTGCCAAGCCCTGGGTGACACCAGCCAGCCCTGGACACAGTCTAGGGCAGAGGTTGTCTGTCAGACACACCTGTGAGCCACCACCCGCTCTCTGAAGGCCTCGGGGCCTGGGACCCACCTTGTACTTGCCGGGCACGTCCATCTTGTTTCGGAGGAACTTGGCGAGATGCATGACTGTCATGGCTGCCGGGCAGCGCAGGAAGCGCACTCCTGTCTGCTGGGAGAGGCCTGTGGGCTTCCAGCCGAGGCCCAGCGCCCAGCCCAAGCCCCACCCTGGGTAGGCCCGGCACTCACCTTCTCCTTGTCCCCATCCCCGTTCTCCAGGGGACCCCTCTTCTCCTCTCGGTCCCTGTGAGGCAGGGAATGATGCTGGGGGTGGGGGGGTGGGGGAGGGGAGGCAGGGTGGGTGACCCCGTCTGGGTGCCGTGGAACCGAGTGGGGGTCCGACTTGCCTGACACCCTCGTAGAACTCGATGGAGAGGCTGACAATCCCGTCGTCGCTCAGGGCCCCCTTCTCCTGCTCCAGGACCTCCCCTCGGTCCTCGTTGGAGCCGTTCGGGACTGCAGAAGGAGTGAGCTCTGAGGAGCAGGCCAAGGAAGGGGGCCACCCTGAGGACTCAGGGGTCACGCAACTGGCGAGGCCTGTCCTGCACGCCTCTGGGGGGCAGGTGTGGTGGAGCCTGCAGGCACGTGGGAGTGGGCAGCCCATCGTGAGAAGCCCCGCGGCCGCACTGCGCACACACTCACCCTCGGTCACGGGGTAAGCTGCGTAGAAATCCCGGCGCCTTTTCATCTCATCTGCAGAGGGAAGCAGGTGGGGAGAAGGTGCAGGCCAGGAGGCTGGGGCAGGGGGTGGGCAGGGAGGAGGAAGGGGCAGATACCTTTAAAAAGCCCAGGAACCAACTTGTACACGATGTCTTGGAGGGTTTTGTCAGATCTGAGGGGGCGGGGGATGTGCAGCAGTCTGTCCCCAGCTCCCTCACCCCAATCCCCTCAGTCAAGTGACCGCTCCCTGCCCTCCCTTCTTGGGGGCCCTTGTAGGCCTGTCTGTCTTTACCCCTCGGGCAGCGAGAGGCTAGGACAGGGCCCAGAACTGTGGCCAGCGCTTCTCCCACATGGGCTGCCTTGGTGACAGGGCGAGGTGAGGCGCGCCCCGGGATCACCCACCTGATGCTCAGCAGGGGTCTGGTCTTGTGGACCTGCACGTCGCACATGGGGCAGTACTTGTTGGTCTCCAGGTAGCGCACGATGCAGGTTTTGCAGACTGGAGGGGGCGTGGTGAGAGGAGAGTCAGGCCCGCCCCCTCCTCCCCGGGCCCAACCCCGGTGCTCTACCGTGCTCTCCCGCTGAGGTGCACAGGGCCCTTTCCCTGCCAACATGGTGACTGCGTTAGAGATAAAAGCTGCCCTGGATCCAGCCCTGGGGGAACGTGTGTGTGTGTCTGCAAACGACAGACAGAATGTTGTCACCCACCACATATAACATGAAATCCCAAGGCCCAAGGAGTATAAAACCAAGAGCCAGTCTCTTAAGACACTTCCCTAGGTGCCTGACCCCTGGCCTCCTGCCCACAGACATTCAAAGACAGAACCGAGGTTTCGGGTGGAAGTCCCTGAAAGGACTGGATAGGCTGAAGGCTCCCGCCCCTACCTGCACGGCCACCCGGGAACCCTGAGTCAGACTCAGGGCAGGGCAGGGTGGCCCACCCTGTAGCCTGGGAACAGTGGCTGCCCACCCGAGGATGCCTCCCCCCACCCCAGGCCCCCAGCTCACAGGAATGCAGGCACTCCACGATGGTAGTGGCATCAATGAAATACCCGCCGCAGAGGGCACACATGAGGTGAGGGTTCAGCTCCGTGATTTTGATCCGTGTGGTTCGATGCATGATGCCAGGGTAGGGGGTGGGGGGGCCGGGGAGTGTCACCCTGAGAAACAAAAAGTGGAATCAGAAACCCAGGGCCCCGATGGCTCATCACATACTTCATTTCCCATCTAGCCAAGCACCATCTCTCCCAGAGCCCAAGGTCCTCCCTCTAGGGCCTCCCTCCAGCCAGGACGGGGTACAGGGAAGTGGCTGGAGGGCTCCCCAGTGGCACTGTCAGGTAAGGAAGCCTGGGCTGCACCGGTGGAACCCCACCAGCCGCTCTGTGGGAGGCCGTCTGCTCCTGTAGAGATTGACACCGGTGGATACCCAACGTAGGGTGGTTATGAACCAGAACAGACTGGGCGGCAGGGGGTCTGATTGGGCTTTGGGTGATGCCGGGGACCCTGCCAAGCCATGGAAGCCAGAGCAACAAGGCTAGGCTCCATTGCAGGAACAGCAGGATGGGCTGAAGTTAGACCAACAGAGTACTTCCCGGCTCTCAAGAGGCTTGTGGAGAGACAGGAGAACGGGGCTTTTGTCAATCTCCCTGCTCCCAATCCGGTTTCCCCAAAGTGGTAAGGCCTCAGTGGCTAACCGTGTGCAGCTGGAGCCCACCGGCTGATCCTCTGGAGAGCAGTGACCATCTGCTTCTCTAAAAGGTGACCGATGGCCTGGGAGGCACTCTGGGGCATTCCTACCGGGTCCCACAGGGCCAGGGCTAGGCAGAGCCCCTGGGTGGGTGGCGCCAATGGTCAAGCACTGGACCTGAGATTGGCGGTTCGAACCCACCCAGAGATGCGTGGGAAGCCAGGCGTGGCAATCTGCTACTAGAGATCACAGCCTTGAAGACCCCGCCCGCCCAAGCAGGGTGGCCCTGAGCAAGCATCCACTTCACGCCACCAACCACACAGGGCCGTTGGATGAGAACACTTAACGGGAAAGAGGAGATGACGGAAAACCCCTAAGTCGACCACCTCTTTCCAGGCCGGCCTCCCCTCCTCCTCTGGGAAGCCGTCCCTGAAAACCTGGGGAAGAAAGCACCCATCACCTGGCCTCTCTGCTCAGCATCCTGCCCAGGCCCTGAAGGACGTCCCTTCCCTTCTCCTGTCGCCTGCTCGAGACAGACTTTAACAGCTCCCTAGACACTCCCCACCCTGACCCTTCTGGGCCAGGCATGGGGCTCAGGCAGGGACTAGCGGGGATGGTCCCACACCTGACCTCAGGCCCAACCCCAGGCTCTGCCGGTGAAGGCAGTCAAGGAAGGAGGCCAAAAAAGGGCTGCTACCACCCCTCCCCAAGATGCCCACCCATGCCCCAGGACCCTACTCGTGGACAGAGGACTTTCCCACATGGCCATCTCCCACAGGTGACGCCTCTGTAACGGGTCTGCCCCAGCAACAGACCGCAGTCCTGGTAGGCAGGCCTTATCCCCGCTGCTGCGCACCCTGCCAGAGCCTGTCCTGGGCAAGAGAGGCCAGTTACAGACATCCAGGCAGAGAATTCCACCTGCCCGGAGGAGGGGCAGCCTCTTCCACCCCTCTGCTTTCCCAGAGCAGAAGTGCAGGGACGGAGTGGGCTCGGGAAGGTGGCCAACAGTTCCTTACAACACGCTCACGCCCTTTCTCCCCTTGCCAGGAGGGTTTCTAAAGCCACCACACTGGGTTTTCTAGGACAAGAAATTCACAGCCGGGACCAGCAGTTTCTATAGAGACCCCAGGATGAGTCTGGCCAGGACCCAAGCAGCCAACAGAGGCACAGGGAGCCTGGCCAGAGACCGGAGAGGCCACACTGGGAGAGGTAGCAGGTGGGAGAGTAGACAGAGAAGCAAGCATGCCCAGGGCAGGGCAGAGCCTCCACAGTGACTGAGCAGCCCAAGACCCGCATTAAGGGAAACGGTCCTCCCCCAGGAGACAACTTTGGTCAGCAAGGTCCCCCCTCACTATTTTGCAGAAGCCTTGCAGGCTACTCCACTGTTTGGTCGTTTCCATAGTAACTCTGAGCCTGGCAAGATGCCCAAATATTGTTACAACCATCCCCAGGAAGAAAGCTGGAAAACCCACGGCAAACGGCTGTCACTTGGAGCCGGTGGGGCAGTCCCCTGGAGTCCACGTCCAGACTGCCCAGGGTACTTCACGCAAGGTGTACCCTGAAACATGTCAGGGGCTGATCCTGCTAGGGGTCCCTGTTGTGACCAGTAAACTCCCACCCCCTTCTCTGTAGGATCCACACACACGTGCACCCACACATGTGGAGATGGGCTCCTCTCAAAGCCTCTGCCACCTCATTCACACACTGACTGATTTGCTCCTAGGACACCCCCACCCCCACCCCTGCAGGGGCAGTTCCCATCTGACTGACGGGTGTGCTGTACTGAGCATGGTGGGAATTCAGACCAAGAGTTGCCCTCTCTCTGGTACCAGGGAGAGAGCTGCAGGGCTGGGCTGAATGAAACAGGCTGCCTCCTTCCCTTTAAGAACTCAGCCCCCCTCCCCTCCCCAGGGGCCTCAGCAGTTACATCTGGGGCTGGGGATGGGGAGAAACACTGATTGCCATGGTTACCTGCAGGGCCCTGCCAGCAGGTGCCTAGAGCAACAGTAAACAGGAGCTCAGTTCCACACCCTCCCCACAGCTCCCTACACCTTCCCGAAGGAGCGCCCCAATTCCTTCCACTGAGCGTGTCAAGGAGAGGGGAGGGGTGCTGGATTGCTAGCTGACATCCCGTTAAAGAGGAGGCTGGAGGGGAGGCGGAAACAGCCTAAGAGGCAAAAGTGGGAGGCCAAGGCCATGGAGAAGGGGGCGGGGGGGCTCTATGGAGTTGGGAGGCTCTGAGATCAACCCCACCTGGGTCTCCCACCAGACACACCACAGTTCCTCCGACCAGGAGCCACGTTCTTCAGGGTCTGCTGCCCCAAACCCACTGTCTTGGGAAGGGCTGGTTTTGGAGTGGTCCATGCTCCTGGCCTGAAGGGCAGGAATGGAGTTTGACTGGTACCCAGCCCAAGCCCAGCGGTCTCCCTTTCCTTCCTCACTAGGAGACCACCACCCTCCACCTTGCCGTTCAGATGGGTCTCTCTCTGGAAGCTCTTCCCCCAGTGCAGACCTCTGGGGTCATCCCTGCTGAAATGACCAGCCTCTGCCAGCCCAGAGGCTCTCCTGGCCAGCCAACTGCATTCTTTGCCTGGCTTCCCTGCAAGCAAAATTAGCCCAACCCCCTCGTGAGAAACTTAAAAGTCACCCAAGGTCACAGGATGAGCTCTTAGAAAGCACCTTGCCTCCTCCCAACTCTTCCAGTTGACAGATGAGGAAACTCCGAGGGAAGGGACTTGCCTAGGGTCACAGGGAAAAGCAGGGGCAGGTGTGTGTGTGTGTGTGTGTGTGTGTGTGTGTGTGTGTGTGTGTAGGTCGTGTGTGGGGTCGGGAGGCTGGCAGCTTTCTGGCTCCACTCCAGAGCACTTTCCACACTGGCACCCTGACTAGGTACCTCCCTCATCTACAGAACCAATACACCTAGCCTCACTGCAGCCAGCCAAGTCTCCCACTCTGGAGTAGCAAGAGGGAACCGAGGCTAGCTGCCCTCACCTCACCCCACCCCGTGGTGCAGATGGAGAAACCGAGGCTCCGGAGACGGCAAGAACTTCACCAAGGAAGCAGAGTGTAGTGGCCTGAGTCAAACCTCCAGATCTCAGACTCCATCCCTCTTCCTGCTGAAGGGGTCCAACTGCTAGTCCAGTGTGTCTGTGAGCTAGCGGGTTCGTGTATATTTGGGGTGATGAGGGTCCACCTGAGAACACGTCCAACCTCTCAATCTTCCATTGATTCCCCCTACCCCCACCTTCACCCCGGGCACTAAAAAGCGGATTGCCTCCCTGAGCTGGGCTCACTACCCTCCCCTTTTCCTACCTCTCAGCTCCCCCAAGCTTAACACCTAAACCCCGATGTACAGGAAGCTGCACTGCCAGATACACACACACACACACACACACACACACACACACACATCTCTCACCCAGTCACAACAACACACAAGACCAGACACTACACAAGCAAGCAACACACACACAACAGGGCCAGCCAGACACTTGGCCAGACACACACAAGGCTAGACACGCCCATCACATACACAGCCAAACCAAAGCCAGGCCCACACTTGCCAAATGTATAAGCCACACCCACCAGGAGCCCACAGTCTGACACCCCAGCCGAAACCGGAGCCCCTCCTGGTGCTCAAGTGTACACACACACACACACACACACACACCCTGGTTCACCGGACAAAAATGGTTATCACAAGACTGGCAGCAATGAAGGCAGCTAGACTCAACCTCCACTCTGGGGGTGGCAGGCTGGGGGAGTGGGGGCCATCTGATGGAGGAAGTTGGCCACATCTGACCGCTCCTGTCCCATGACCACGGTCCCATCAACGAACAGCTATTGGCAAGGCCAGGGGCAGCAGAGGGTTGCACGGCTTTCTGCCCGACTTCAACTTGCACCCCATCCAGCGGTGCCTCACCTGGGGTGTCTTACATACAGCTCCAACCCCATACCAGGGACCCCCCCCCTGGGGGAAATCCTTCCACCAAGCAGCTGCAGCAAGGCTGGCTCTAGGCTCCTTCTCCAAGTACCAACACCTTGGAATAGAGTGGAGGGAGGGAGGCTGTCAAGACATTACTCTCAAGAAAGACAGACTGCAAGGGGTCCAGGGAAGGAGGCCCCAGGACAGAATGGGAGACATCTAGGAGACCCTCCCAGCCACAGCAGGGGGGTCGTCCGGAGACAAAGAGAAGGGGAAGCGCGGGGTAACACTGCCACTGTATTTATAGGCAAATTCTCCACCCCCACTTCTGCCCGCCAGAGCAATTCTGGGCAGTTGGGGGGCAGTGGGAGAGGGAGAAAGGCATGCCTAGCCCACCAGGCCAGGCAGGGGGCGTTTGCTGGCCGGAGGGTCCCACCCCCTCGGAGCTAGCGGCAGAAGAGCCAGGGTTGGGGGCTCCTGCTGCAAGAGTGGCCAGTCCACCAGACCCCGCTGCCACTGCGGGCGCTGGGAAAGATCGCCGTACGTCTCCCACCTGTCCACTCGACGCCTCCCCGCTGGCCTCTCCCCGCTCTGGCCCCACGAGGCTGGGTCCGAGGACCAGGGACCTCAGTTAGTGGCCGCTCCCACCTTCCCCAGAGCCAAACTTTCCGCGGGGCCCGAAGAGGGGGGTTCCGCTGAAAGCAGCTCGGGGAGGGGGCGGGGCGCCCAGGCCCGGGACGGGAAAGGACCGGCTGGGGGAGGTGCCCGAGAGCACTGGGACCCCGGCCCGGGAGGGCGCCCCTCGGCCCCACCGCCATCGGAGAGCCTGCCCCTGCGTCGCGGCCTGAAGCCACCCCCTGTCCACGACGCCCCCGGGCCCACGGGAGAGGCAACGAGGGACCCTTCCCCAGGCGAGGGGGTAGATGGAGTCGGAGGAGGGGTTACTTGGTTCGTGGGGAGGGCTGGCGGGTCAGAGATACACCCCAGCCCGTACCCCCAGAGCCCTCGGGCCGGCTCGCTCCCTCGTGGGGGCAGGGTCACCGGGGGCCGCAGCACAAAGTGGTGGTGGTCGAGGGGAGACGCAAATGGTTAAAAGCGAGACTCCATTTCGGCCATCTTGGAAGGGAGGAAAGCGAAAAAGGGAGAAAGAAAGGCGGACCGGCGAGCTGGGCTCGGGGTGGGGAGGGCGCCCCCCGCCCCCCAGAAGGCCCCGCTCAAAGCCTCCCCCCTCCACAAGGGCGTGGACCGAAGGC